AAAGGTATCTTAAATTTAAGATACCTTTCTTAAATCAGATATCAAAAGAGTGTCTTGATGTGTTATTTGGCAATTTGTTTTTTTTAATTATAAAAGTAATATAAATTTATTCTAGAAAATTTAAAAGTACCCATAAACCCACCACCCAAAATTGCCCTATTAACATTCACATCTGGTGTATTTCCTTCCAATCTTTGACTTTCCAGGTACATTTGAGGTCTATCCTGTTTTTCTCAACTAGGTTTTCCCCATGACATTAAAAAGTCTCAAAGTACTTTTGGAATGTTTTCTTGGATACTGGAAGTTTCACCTGCAAAATTCATATACAATTTGAAATGTAAGAAACATCTCCTACAGACCAGGGCCACCAGGGCAGCCTTCCCTGCAACAAGAGCTGTACCTGAATTGCAACAACACAATCCCACTGATTCGGAGGACAAGGCTCCACCCAGCTGTGGCTCTGTCATTTGTTATTAATTCTTTCAGATTAAATTTCAATATAAGGCTATTTTGTACCTTAGCTAGTTCCATGTAAACTGATAATTTTGCTAAAAGAGAAAGAGAAAGAAAAGAGAGGAGGAGAAAAACTGACCTTCACACAGGCCCACATTTACTGTGAGCCAAAATCCTGAAAAGCTACTCTCAAAGTCAAGTAAATCGTCAAAGTTCCCAGAGCCATTCCTTGGGTCCCTTTGCACATTTGTGCAGCATTTCATGGTTAGCAGAGGGTGTACCCCCTCTACATTATCCTTGGTGGTAAGAACTTGCCTGTGTCATCAGCTGAGCAGAAACATGGGAGAAATGCCTGCTTTCCCAACCACAGCTGCAACTTGCCCTACAGAGCAGCTCAAAATGCTCCTGGAGATGCGATTTAGATCCCCCACTCAAATTCATACCTGGGATTCCAAGAAAGAAAGAAACGTTACAAAACATGATCACCATTTCCTTCTATATTTACCCTGCAACATCCACATGCGTGCCCATGAGTGCTGGGCCGCCACTCCCTGCTCAGACCTGGACTCATCCTCTCTCCCTAGCCCCATTCCCTGTGATGACTCTGGACACAGCCCCGAGGCCCTGGCCCCTCTCTCGCTCTCATCCACCCCATGCCCCACACCCTCTCCTCCTCTCTGACTGTGCCCTTCCTGGCCCCTTGGGGCTCCTCCTTCAGGCTCTTCTCTCCCAGAACTCTCATATTTCCTTGGCTTTTTTGGTTTCTCTCAACTCCATGCCTGTTCATCCCACCAGCTGCCATGATGCAAGGCCCAGCCTTCCCTCCCCATCTCCCCATGGATGCGCCTGGCCTGCACCCACAGCCTCACCTGTGAGGCACCCACCTTCCAAACACACTACCAGGGAGGTTTGGCTTTTTCTGTTTGTTTTTAAATTTTTGTTTCCCATTGTTATTGCATTTTATTGTTATTATACTTTAAGATTTAGGGTACATGTGCACAACGTGCAGGTTTGTTACATAGGTATACATGTGCCATGTTGGTTTGCTGCACCCATCAACTCGTCGTTTCCATTAGGTATTTCCCTTAATGCTATCCCTCCCCCAGCCCCCTGACCCCCAACAGGCCCCAGTGTGTGATGTTCCCTGCCCTGTGTCCAGGTGTTCTCATTGTTCAACTCCCATCTATGAGTGAGAACATGCAGTGTTTAATTTTTATTGGTTTTTAAAGGCAATGAAATAGCATTGCATTACATTTTTCCCCCAATACCAAACACAAGCATTTAATTAACCCCAAACACTAAACCCAAACATTAATCTTCAGCTTCCTCTTCTCTGTCTTTGCTCTTTCCCACAACCATTCCCCCTGACCACTCTTCTGCTTATAGGTGTCATATATTTCTGCCCATAATATTAGAGATAAGGCTCAATTTGAAAACAGATGCAAAATATATAATGGGTCAAACACAATCATTGCTTTCCTTGTTTCTAGACAGATAGCAGCTCTCCACCCATGACTTGGGACCCAGGCTCCTTCACCTCTTGACTTCATTGTGCCCCACAGAAGGGGCAAAGGCATAAGGAGGGGACACATCCGCTATTTAGGACAATGGCCCAGGAAGACACACTCAAGTCCAGATGGGCCAAGACTCAATCACCATGGCCAACCCTCAATGCAAAGAGGATGGGAAATGTGGTCCAGCCCTGGTGAGAAACTGGATTTTAGGGAAGCAACAGATATCCCCCCAGACTTTCCAGAGCACTGATCACTACTCATTCATTAACCTTTCAAGACAGGTTCTTCCAGGGGTCAAGATAATTGCCTGGAGCTGGGGGTTTGCAGTTTAGTAGAAAAAGGATAAAGCCTACAAATTGAGGATAGGGGGGAGGCAGGAATAAATTTCCTTCATAACAGTTTTAAAGTATGAAGTATCACTGAAGACTTGAGAATCAGCTAATTTGACAAACCCTCTTCTTCCACTTAAGGACTCAGAAAGACAAGAGCTTAGGGTGGCTTTGCACATTTGGGCAGCCTCCCAGCAGCCAACGTGGGATATACACCAGGCCTGCTGGAGCCTTCACAGGACTCTGCAGACAAGGTCTCCCCAGCCAGGCAGAGTTTGAGCCCAGACACTATTCCATATAAAGTCATATTTAGGGACTTCCACTCAGCACAAAAAAATTAGCAGTGAGACCTCGGAGTTGACCATGCAAGGACAATAATACCCTGCCATGTAGGGGGTAGTGGCAGTGAGCAGGACATGGCCTCTGCCTCCCTCCACACATCCCAACCCACCTCCAGTGAGAAGGACATGACCTCTGCCTCCATCCATACACCCACCCCACCTCCAGTGAGCAGGACATGGCCTCTCCCTCCATCCGCACACCCACCTCACCTTCAGCCCTCCCATCAACATCTGTCCTGGTATTTGTTCTAAGAAAGGGAAAAAAGCAAATTTTCTTACAAATGAAGGACTTTTCTTATTCTCAATGAAGGATTATTGAGGGCGATCATCTGAAAGTCAAAGCTGTCAGACTGGAGAGTAGGCTCTGCAGAACAGATGCTGTCTCTTCCTGAGGCTGAAACATAAAAACAGATCCAGGGGACTGATTTTTAAGGCAACTGATCATCCATGAGCAAAGTTAACTCATAAGTTAGGTTGGTGGCACTCAAATCCCATCTCTGGCTATGTTCTCATTCAGATAAATGATGGTTTGTTGACAGATGACATTTCTCCTTTAACCAAGATAAAAACAGAATGTCCACAAAGGAAACACATGGCAGAGTCAAAGGACACAGAATTTAAGTCTGGAGAAAGAAATTTCTTACCAAACTTTCGAAAGACTTTAGTATTTCTGGCCAAATAAATAATTTCATAAGTGGATTATATACTTTTAAACAGCAGAATCAGTTCCAAAATTCCCCTGCACTCAAGTTTTAGGAGAGCTTTCCTAATGCATTATTAACTAATGAGTGAACCAATGTGTTAATCATGAAAGCCATAAGAAAGAACGTAACCAGACATGGTGCCTCATGCTTGTAATTCCAGCGTTTTGGGAGGCCAAAGCGTAAGGATGACTTGAGATCAGGAGTTCAAGACCAGCCTGAGCAATATAGTGAGACCCCCATCTCCATGAAAATAAAAATAATTGGCCAGGCATAGTGGCATAAGCCTGTGCCTCCTGTGCCTACTCAGGAGGCTGAGGTGGGAGGATCACTTGAACCCAGGAGATCGAGACTGCAGTGAGCTATGATGGTGCCACTACATTCCAGCCTGGGTGACAGAGTGAGACCCTATCTCTAAAATAGTAATTTTAAAACTTTTTTAAAAGAAGGAACATAACCACAAGCTAAAATTACAGATGAAGGTAGAGGAGGCAGAAACCAAATCAAATTTGTAAGCACAGAGAGAGAGAACATTTCCCCGCCCTTTTTTTTTTTTAACCTTGGCATTGAATCAACCATTAAAGTACAATGCATGCATACTTACCAACAAAAACCAGAAATGTTTTCTAAACCCTGAAATTTGGCCAACAGTTCAAAGAGCTTGTTCAAGATGCTTGCCCTAAACATAAGGAAAGTGACAAGGGAAAAATTTATTATAAAAAGAAATTGATTGCAAGTCTGTTACATGCAGGCACAGAACACATACATGGTTTTGTTTAACCTTATAACACTGAGGTGGGTATCATGGTCATTTTGTAAATGAGGAAACTGACGCTATGAATTTGGATAGTGTGTTGTAAGTCAGTTCAGGCTGCCATAATAGAATATCACAGACTGGGTGGTTTAAACAACATTTATTTTCTCGTTGTTCTGGAGGCGGGAGTCCAAGATCAAGGTGTTGGCAGGGTTAGTTTCTGGGAGCCCTCTCTCCTTGGCTTGCAGATGACCACCTTCTCCCTGTGTCTCATATGGCTTTTCCTCTGTTTGTGTGCACCGCTGGTCTCTCTTCCCCTTCTCGTAAGGACACCAGTCCTACTAGATTGGAGCCCAAACCTTATAGTCTCATTTAACCTTTAACTATCTCCTTAAAGGCCTTATCTCCAAATACAGTCACCTTAGGGGTTGGGGCTCAAGCCCTATATGGTTGGTAGGGACACAATACAGTCCATAACAGATATCATGGCTAAGAGCCCACTAAGAGTTGCTAAGTAGTAGAGCTAAGACTGAATCTAAAGAGGACTCCTTCATTCTGAGCTTACTGTCTCTCCCATGCCACAGCATCTCAGACAGAGTTGGGAGGCATCCCTCTGTAAGAGCTGACTCAGTAGAACCTGCTGGCAGGGACACAATTTTGCAGCAATAAGCTCCATCCTGGTGGGCAGGATGGTGAAGTACTTACACAAACTAGATCGAAGAGCACAGAAGTCCAAGTCAACTAGAGGCCTATCCAGATGGTGTGGAATAAAAATGGCTTTGTCTACTTTGTTTATAGCTACACAAATGGTATTTGGTTTCACCAGCCCATACAAAGTGTGCCGTTCCATTGTCCTCAAAGAGCCAGCCTTTCATTCAGTGTTTCTTTTCTTTTCTCCAAACCACCAGCTAACGTCCTGGAGGGTGACTCCATGGATCAGGATGTCGAGAGCCCAGTGGCCATTCACCAGCCAAAGTTGCCTAAGCAGGCCAGGGATGACCTGCCGAGACACATCAGCCGAGACCGGACCAAAAGGAAAATCCAGAGGTATGTGAGGAAAGATGGAAAATGCAACGTTCATCATGGCAACGTGAGGGAGACCTATCGCTACCTGACTGATATCTTCACCACCTTAGTCGACCTGAAGTGGAGATTCAACCTGTTGATTTTCGTCATGGTTTACACAGTGACCTGGCTCTTTTTTGGAATGATCTGGTGGTTGATCGCGTACATCCGGGGAGATATGGACCACATAGAGGACCCCTCCTGGACTCCTTGTGTTACCAACCTCAACGGGTTCGTCTCTGCTTTTTTATTCTCAATAGAGACAGAAACCACCATTGGTTATGGCTACCGGGTCATCACGGATAAATGCCCAGAGGGAATTATTCTCCTCTTAATCCAATCTGTGTTGGGGTCCATTGTCAATGCATTCATGGTGGGATGCATGTTTGTAAAAATCTCTCAACCCAAGAAGAGGGCAGAGACCCTGGTCTTTTCCACCCATGCAGTGATCTCCATGCGGGATGGGAAACTGTGCCTGATGTTCCGGGTAGGGGACCTTAGGAATTCCCACATTGTGGAGGCTTCCATCAGAGCCAAGTTGATCAAATCCAAACAGACCTCGGAGGGGGAGTTCATCCCGTTGAATCAGACGGATATCAACGTAGGGTATTACACGGGGGATGACCGTCTGTTTCTGGTGTCACCGCTGATCATTAGCCATGAAATTAATCAGCAGAGTCCTTTCTGGGAGATCTCCAAAGCCCAGCTGCCCAAAGAGGAACTGGAAATTGTGGTCATCCTAGAAGGAATGGTGGAAGCCACAGGTAAGATGTGTTCTATCCTGGGATGGCTGTGGGATAGATGCTCATTTTAAACTGGACCTGATGTTCTTATCTATTACAAGATCTAGAATACTAAACCTCATGCAATATTGACAACATCCCCTTGCTTCATGACATAGTATGCCTACGTGTCTCACCTGAAGTATATCCGCCAAGAAGCCTAACCATTTAGTTTTTAAAAGCCCTTTGGAAAATAAATTAATGAACAATGAAAAATCACCATGTAACATATTTTAAGTCTCCAAATATTTACCTAAGTTAAAATCTGATCTGTCTCTAAAGCACGTTTTAAATGGCCTTAAAACACTGCTAATTTAAATACTTGAGGTTATTTATTACCAAGTTAGGAGGAAGAAGTTAAGTCTTTCAAAGGAAGCCTGACAAACTGCTTTAATAAAAATGCAATTTCACCCATTCTTTGAGAGTCATTTATAAGGCCCATAGCATTGGTTTCTCTTTTGTATGAAGTGAGTGCCTAGTATCTCTCCACACTTGACCTGCCGAGCCCCCAGTAAGTATAAAGTTGCAGACAAGTAAGTAACTCTAGCAGAAAAGAAAAAAGTTGAAGATCCATTCATCTTAATCCCGCCGGCCCTCTTGTTAATGGCTTATCACTGGGATGTTTTAGGGACGATGATCTGTTCAGGAAATAGAGAAAATGGTCTGTTTTTACTGACGTCTTCGCTCATATCTGAAATTTGCACATTACACATCCCAACAGCAAAGCAGGTTCTGCCCATGTTTGTATGTAACATCCCCCAAAACAGAGCCATCAGCTATGACTCAAGATAACCATAGTGCCTCACAGGGAAAGTATAAACCAGAACCCTAATTCATTAAGGCCTTTATTGTTCTTTGAGGTAGTAATGGTGTCTTTGGGGTCCTTTTTCCTGATACCATCAGCCCTTTTGTGCTTTTAAGTCTTCAGCTTGAGATTCGGGTGGTTTATATTGTCTGAAATTGCATGACCAGTAGGCTGGCCCCAGGTTCTTCATCAACCTGTGACAAGTAACTTAATGCCGTGATCCCTTTTAGGGAAAAGTCACTGGTCCCACGTTTCTACCTCCCTGTACCCAACAGGCAAGGTCACAACCTTTAACAAATTTCTCTTACGGTGGTGGTGTGAAACTTTTGCTATAGGGTTTTTAAATGCAGCAAACAGTGAAAACGTGAGTAGAGGGCTTTGCATGGAGCTCAATGGTGGGAGCGGTCGCCTTTTCATGGAACAAAAGGCGCAGGAACCTAATGGGAAAGTAACTTTAAAGAATAACAAAAGTCACTGTTGCGAAATAAGACATAAGTGCTCCAGGTGTTAACAGGAGCTGTACTTTGAGCCTGATTTAGGGGTGCATTTGTGAGGCAATAGTTAGGTGGAGGGGAGGGGAGGAGGAAGGGAGATAGAAGGGAGAAGTAGAAGGGAGGGCAGGGGAGGAGGAAAAGGGGAGGAGGAAAAGGGGAGGAGGAAAAGGGGAGGAGGGAAGGAGATAGGAGGGAGGAGAATGGAAGGCAGGGCGGGGAGAAAGGAGAGGAAGAGAAGGGGAGGAGAGAGGAGGAGGGGAGGCTGGGGAGGAGGGAGGGAAGAGAAAGGGAGGAGAGAGAGAGGAGGAGGGGAGCCTGGGGAGGAGGGAGGAGAAATAATTCAAACAGGGAGCTGTCACTTTCCTACAGACCAGAAACTTCCCCAACCTCAGCCGAGCACAGGGACTCTGGATCCCCCTAGCGGCCACAGAGCTACAGCCTCTGACACTATCTACTGACCACTCAGGATGCAGTTTTTCTTTTCGCTTTTCACCATAAATTCCCCCAAGAGGACGTGAGAGAGGGCAGTCTCTCCAAGCTCAAGAAGCAAAAACCACTGGAGATGTACCCTGTGGTTACTGATGCTAATCTGAGCTTTAAATTGTGGGAGTTAAGCTTTGTGTTCCCTCAAACCAAAGCCCAATCTCTGTAAAATAAATGAATCTGGAATACGCAAATTATCTTTGTGATGTCCCTGAGTCGGAATTCTCCCTGGGGCAGGCCCTGTCTTTCTGATGACAGCTGGTAATAAGTGAGCCAAGGAACACGGTTTTCTTGGTAATTAACAGTGATACTTGCCTCTGAGCACCTTATGGCCTTTCCACAGCTTTCAAGAGAAATCTGAGTAATTACCAGCAAAACCAATCCAAATGTCCACCCCACTCCCTGAAAAAAGGCAAATCCTACTCATTTTCTTTTAAAAAATAGTTTTCTACTTCCTAGACTTGGGGGGCTGGCGGTTCTAGAAAGTTCTAGAGGTGTCTGGAAACTGAATGTGTCTTGGTCTTTTCCTCAGAGGAATCGTACAACTCAGTACCCCTAGTACAGCTGATCTCTTATGTTTCAGCAGGATACTGTTTGTGAATGAAAAGCTCAATTAGGATTTATGGGCATTAAACAGGCCCTTAGGGGAGAAAAATGCTTCAATCTCTCAAAACCACAGGAAAAAAAAAAAAAGTGGACCAAATGCACACTCGAGGAAAACAAATTCACAGGGATCTAATTATTCATCGTAGTGCTGGACTGGAAATCAGGAGCCGTGATAATAGCAAGCTAACACAAAACAGCTTCCCCTGCGCTCATCACTTCTTTCAAAAATGTCGCAGTTGACCTTAACCTGCTGTGCTCAGTGGTCTCCACGAGCAGGCCTCTTCCAGGGAGCGGGGGAGGCCCACGTGGCCACCTTCACGCGGTGCCCTCTTCCCTGATAGGAAGCAGGCATCCTGGGCACAGGATGATCCTAACGTGGTGTTTTCCGGAGACCCGAGTTATCCCGCAGGAGGCCACCTGGGTCCTTCCGTCTGCTGGGAGCTCAGGCCCGGTGCAGGCGAGTGGTGCTCTGTGGATGCACTGCCTTCCAACGCCAGCCGCATTGCAGGGTCAGGTTCCATTTTTAGAAAATGAAAGTGGGCTCCTTGAAGGCTGGAAGTGAGCCCCCCTTTCATGGCCTCAAAGGGACTGCACAAAAGATGGCCCCACACCCAGGCAGAACAGCCCCGCATCCCTTAGGAATGGCTTTGGCCCGGTCCCGCCTCAAGTCAGAGGGACATGCCAGGTGACCTTTAAGAACCTTCCAGTCATGTGGTTCTATTTTTGAAAATGAATCAAACCCTGGAAAATTCTGACACCAGCCACTCAGACATCCAGGAGTTGGCCGTGTCTCATCTGCAGATATATTTTTAAAGGGGGCCGTTTATGTTCCTGGCACATGGGCGATTTTGAGATAGTGGTGTTTACAGAAGGTTTCATAGCTACGTAAACAAACGTGCTCAGCAGCTGTGGCCCATGTGTGTTAAAATAGTAAAGCATTCATATAGACGGTTATTTATAGAGGGCAAATGGGCCTCGAGGCAAGATGACAGCCACGCAGCACTGGGCTTGCTGCCAGTCAGCCCCCACTACGGCCTTGCTGATTGACGAACTTCCACATTTACCCCCGGCGATTATGCAACTGCGGGAGGCAGCATTTGCCTACACCTCGGCAAACGTGCCCGCAAGGATGAGTCCCCGCTAAGCCTTTTGGTTATTTTACACTTCTTTTGATGGAACCTATCAGACTTACACAAAAACAGACCCAGTAGTATCACTCACCCCCCCCCGTGTCCCCGTCCTTCTGCTCCAGTGATTATCAATTCAGGGTCAAACATGCTTCCTCTGTATCCCCGCTCACTGGCTGCCCACCAGAATCACATCATTTCATCTGCAAATATTTCAGTATGTGGTCCTAAAAGACAAAGACTCTTTTAAAAATGTAGGTCTCATACCATTATGACACCTAAAATAATGACCAATAAATTAAGATCCAACATCTACCGAGTGTTCAAACTTCCAATTGTCTCGTATATGTCACAAGTTTTTTTTATTTACAATCAGCTTGTTTGAATCAGGATCCAAATAAGGTTAACACACGGTGATTGGTTGAGATATCTTGTAAGCCTCTTCATCTGTGAGTTTTTCTATCTTTTTTTTTTTCTGATAAGTTTTTCTTAAAGAAGTTAACTTCTGAAAGATGTAAATACTACATAGAATACTGGGGAAAGTGGAGGATGAAACACACCAGAGAGCACTTTATAGACAAGGAGGCAGGGCTGATTAATCGGAAGTCACCATCTGGGAGTTACCAAGGAGGACAGCCAGGGTTCACTGGAAATAGGTGAAGGCAAGCCATCCTTCACCATAGAAAAGCTCAGTTCTGTCGCTAGTATAGTTATTCCCAGGCAGAGAATTTAGTCATATAAATCATATCACAGATCATAAAATTTTTGAGTTGGAGGGAATCTTTGCCCATTTTACAGATGAAGAAATGGAACCCCAACAAGACCCGTGACTTGGCTAAGGTCAAATAGCCACCAGCAGAGTAGGACCTTGAAAGCCACAACCATTGATGGTGTTGCCAGGAACTCCATGTTCAGTGCCCTTTGCACCATGAGTGCTGCTGATTCATGATTCGGCAGAGAAATGCACCCAGAAAAGACAACTGATATTTCTTTTTTTTTTTTTTTCAGATGGGGTTTCGCTCTTGTCGCCCAGGCTGGAGTGCAGTGGCACAATCTCAGCTCACTGCAACCTCTGCCTCCCGGGTTCAAGCGATTCTCCTGCCTCAGCCTCCCGAGTAGCTGGGATTACAGGCATGTGCCACCACACCCGGCTAATTTTGTATTTTTAGTAGAGACGGGGTTTCTCCATGTTGGGCAGGCTAGTCTGGAACTCCCCACCTCAGGTGATTCTCCCACCTCAGCCTCCCAAAATGCTGGGATTACAGGCGTGAGCTACTGCACCCGGTCGACAACTGATATTTCATGTGCAGATGACTAATATCAATGTGCCCTCTTTTCTTTTCTCTCACCATTAGTTCTTCTTTTCCTTTAAGGTTCTTCTGTTTCTAAATGTCATCAATTCATTTTTAAATTACATAGACATTGACATGAATTTTAAACAACCATATATCAGAATGAGATACACCACAAAACAATTCTGAAATCAAAATTAAATAAGCATTGTCTACAAAAATACCCCTGGAAGAACATGATGTTCTGTCAGGTCTGATTTCCAAGCACATTTTTCTTTAATGTAATCAAAATGCCAATCTACTCTAGCAGGGGAGAATATGAGATTGCAGCCTTTGAAAAGATAAGACTGCTGAGGGTAAGCATCACCATGCTCTTAAACTGTTTCTAGTAATGATATTTCACAGCCGCTAAATTTTTCAAATCTCATTTTTCTCCTTTTGATAATTGACTGCTGATCCCTCCATTGCCAAGCCATTATCTCCAATTTGACCATTTTTCTCTTGAGAGTTATAACCCCAACCACCCGGCCTGGGAAAAGAGTTCATTGGTGAGCTCTGAAATGCTAAGAACGTGGGTGAAACTCTTCATAGAGCCATCTTCCTGGAAAATCTCTGTAAGGAGTGATTTTTTCAATTTAAAGACATATGAATATATTTTTCCTAGGTCAAAATCTGCCACCCATAAATCAAGAAATCCAGCTCTCCTTTCTTTTTGAGCATTAAGTGTAACTCATTTATTCAGGGCTTCCTTCCAAAATGTCTATCTCAATATAATATATCCCAGTAGTATCATTGGCTGGCTGGGTAAAAACTGGTGACAACTGCTCCCCAAATATGGTAAACTCTCTGTAATCCTCCACAGCTTGGGGACACTGTTCTGGTTCACCAAATGTCTTCACAATCAGATTTTGGATGCTCCGGTGCACACATAGAGTCTTAACTTTTCTACCACTCCTTCCAAAAGGCAGGCTACTGTAAGAAACCTAGCATTATAACTCCACTAAACATTTCCCATACTTTAGAAGACAAGGGGTCAAGGTCACCATATATTACTGTGATTGAAAAAAGCAAAAATTCAGGAGGCTGAGACAGGAGAATGGCCCGAACCCGGGAGGCGGAGCTTGCAGTGAGCTGAGATCCGGCCACTGCACTCCAGCCTGGGCGACAGAGCGAGACTCCGTCTCAAAAAAAAAAAAAAAAAAAAAAAAAAGCAAAAATTGTTCATTGTTCACCAGTACCAGAAAATCCATTGTTCTTCCTTCTCCAAATGGGCCATGAGAAGCCACTAAATTAGATGCTCAATAGAAATGAATGATGATCTCCCAATATATACAATGTGGAATTCAAAGCATTGGACAAAATTGGACTAGCATCTAAATTTAGCTCAGACCCAAACTCTAAAGTCAATACTCATCTTGCAAAGGAACAGCATCATCCAAATTAGGAGATGAATGTCAAATCGTGTGGAGCCTCTAATTAGCATATCCTTAAACAAATAGAGTTTTATTATTTCCTAGGGTATTCAGTAATACAAGTGCGGACAGCAGGTTGCCAGCAAAGCAGTTTTACTCAACAATTTCTAATGACCGGAAGAGGATCACTGAGGAAGGCTATGTAAATTATTCACACGCACACAGATACACACACTCGTACACACATACACACATGTGCATACACATGCACACACAGCACACACGTGCACACACACGCATACACATGCACACAAGTACACAGACACATGCACACACAGCACACACATGTGCACACACATACACGCATGCATACATATGCACACAAGTACACAGAACACATGCATACATGCACACACAGCACACACATACATATGCATGCGTGAATACACACATGTACACAGAAATACACACATAGGTATACACACATGCACATGCAAATACACATACACACACGCACACACAAATACACATACACACAGGTATACACACATGCACATGCAAATACATATACACACATGCACACACACAGCACACACATGTGCACACACGCATACACATGCACACAAGTACACAGACACATGCATGCACACACAGCACACATGTGCGCACACATACACATGCACACAAGTACACAGACATATATACATGCACACACATGTGCGCGCATATGCATGCGTGAATACACATACACACATGTACACAGAAATACACATACACACAGGTATACACACATGCACATGAAAATACACATACATGCACACACAAATACATACACACAGGTATACACACATGCCCACACATGCACATACATGCAAATACATTACACGTGTATACACATACATGCACACACAAATACACATATACACACACGCACTTACTAAACAACTAAGCAGCCTGAGGTGCTGCTTCTCCAGTCAATCATGCCCTTGCTCCACAGTGGCACACTCACCCACTTATAACCTCGTTTGTTACATTAATTACTTGGTAAGCTGCTTTTTCCAAATTAACCTCTCTCAGCTATAGCTCAGCTCATCTGTACCCCTTTGTGTCATTTACAACATCAGGACTTCCTGGGTTCAAGCTGCAGTTGCTCCCTTCCCTGCCTTATGTAACCTCTGTTTCCATTTCTTCAGCTCTAAAATGGGAACAATAATGGTACCTACTCACGGGTAACCTTCCAACCCCCCGAATTCCATTAGAGCAGATCATTTCTCCCTCTATAGACCACACAGGCAAAAAACAAGAGTAAAGCTTTGCAGGGACAGGAGAACAGGCAGTCAGGAGGCCCAGTCCCAGCGAGCACCTTCATTGTCCCCAGGGACCTTGCAGTTAGTGCCGTGATAGAATGACAAATGACTCCCCTCTAAAACCACTCTGAAAAGTCAAAGCAGCGAGTGTTAACCTGTGAGCACCAAGCCACACAGTGCGCAAGCACAATGCAAGGGTAAAAGCCAGCCTGGCCTCTGCCCCGGCTACCTGCCATGAATGACAAATCAATGGGATCTGAATTAATGAGAATCACTGGACTCAGTCAGAAAGGACTTTGCATTCCTATAGATAGTAACATCTCATCATTCCAATTTCTGCCAAAAGTGGACATGAATGTAGATTACTCCCAGGTCTTCCGAGGCAACTGTTCAGTGAGAATAAGACTAATTGTTTACATTTGAAAACAATATGATTTCTATATTCCCATTTCCTCTTCTAGATTTTTCATAAGAATTCTGAGGTATCAGCTGATGTTCCAATTTAGAAAATGCATTTCTGTGCTGTTAACTCTACCAAATAATATTTACTTTCATGGTTAGTTCTTATAGATACGTCTGCTTTAAAGTACAGCTATACTTCAACAAAGTAGACAGTAAATGTGAGTTTCTGTGTAGCCAGTTTCATTATTCTCTGTTTACATAGAAAGAATGATAGATACTGCATCAGTCTGCTTTGGCTAAGTTATGCTGCTGTAACAAACAACCCCAAAGGCTGAAAACAGCGGTTTATTTCTCATTCACACTACATGGTGGCAGCAGCTGTGTTTACAGCCTGTTTTCTCCAAGATGCAGACTGAAGGAGCAGCCCCTACATAAGACACACTGTTCTTATGTCAGGGAAAAACAAGAGACATGGCCAAACACTCGCTTCTGCTCACAATTTATTAGTCATAGCAAGTCATATGGCAGTGCCTGATGTCAATAAAATGGGGAAATATAATTTTTTCACAGGAGCTTGGAATAAATCATTGAGGGCAACAATTTCAGTCTACCACAGATCACCTCATGGTTTTGAAAACCAGTAAGCTGAGTTGAAAATTTTTTGTGAGTTAGGTTTTGAAATGTGTGGTAGTAATTTATGTGCTCACCAAAAATTCCCAGCTTTCATCCTTTCAGACTCATATTAGATTGCATTTCCCTATTCTTGTTGAACAGGGCTATGCAACCAGTGGTCCCATCAATAGAAACATTAAGAGGTAAGTATCCCTCTGGTGGAAACTTTACAAGCCAAAGTGTGTTCCCTTCCCACTTCTAAGGCTCTCGTGGAAGCACATGTCACAGAGAAGCTTCTGTCCTCCTGACCTTTGACTGGCTTTGAAGAGTGGACCCAAGCCAAGTCCCATGTGATATACAGCATGACTGAGAAATAACCTTATGTTGGGTTAAGCCACTGAAATTTGGGTTGTCATCAAGGTAAAATCTAGCCTATCTTGCCTGATATAAAATGTCACATTAACATTTGACAAGTTGGCCATTGTATACTGCCAAGCATACTAGACTTGCCAGGAAATGAATCTGTAACTGGCTACTTTGCAGAACTTCTCCTCCAGGTTTTAAATTCTTTCTTCACTGGTGAAGACTGAGATCAGACAGACTGAATTCAAATTCTGTCTCTACTCTTGACTATCCCTGTGATTGAGCATATCACATTCCTTACCTTCACAAAAATTTTTTTTCCCATTCTGAAAAATTGGAATGATTCTTGTACCTGCAAAAAGATTCCATGAGATAATCATGCACATCCTTCATTGTGGAGCCCAATGTGTAGTAGGTGCTCAATCAATCAAGAGAGTAGCACTATGATTCTGTGAATCATACTGTTCTCATAGCTATCATTCATTTCATGCCTAATGGATGCCAATTACCTTATTAGATGTTTTGCATGGATTATTTTAAATCTTCAAAGCAATTCTGAAATGTGGGTACCATTCTTATTTAACAAATGAGGAAGTTGGGTCTTGGGTAGGGGTTGGGAAGACAGTAACTTGGCCAAGGTCACCCAGCTGGTGAAGTGATAAAGCCAGGATGCAGTCTCAGGGCTGCCCCCTCCCCAGTCTATCTGCTCCAGTGCCCCTCTAGAGGAGCCTACACAAATCCTATGGCATGTCTGAGGGGCTCCAAGGTAGTGGTTATTGATTAGAGTTCATTAATGCACCGACAACTATGACTCAATGATATATAATTTCTTGATTACAGGCCATGGCTTCTCTACCGGGCTCCCCTTGCCTGACTGCAGGAAGCAGGCAGGGATGATCCACTCTTGCATAACAGTTGGCATTGAGTCCCCTGAAAGGGCAGCCTAGAGGCTCCCACCCTCCAGTTCTACCCAATTCAGTGTTATCAGGTGACTGTGCCAGTTGAAGCTCTGGGTTAACCCCATCCAAAATGCCCTGGTGCCATGCCAAGTATAATCCAAAGTGCAACCAACCGGCCAGCTGACAAACCCTTAAGGGAGGAAAAAAAAAAAAAAGTTTAACACTGAAAGGCAAAAATCAATTTTGACTCTGAATTCCCTGCCAGAAAGCACTATAATAAAAAGATATAGGCTTTGATCAGCCTAATTAAGCTCGGCTGGGGTTTCCATTCCACTGTAAAAGATTCAACAAGACCCTTTTTGGAGAAGATGATGATGATGATGATGATGACGACGACGACGACGACTCATACTGAGGCCATCCTAGGAAGATTTTAATTATGCATCTGCTAAGTAAATACATTTCCTTTTACATTTCCTCAAGCATGTTTTATATAGTGTAAATATTAATAGAAATCTGTGAAAGCAGACGGATAATGGAGGGCTTGATGAGTAATGGGATTAGAGGAGAATGTACAATAGGGGATTGCTGAGATGGCTAGACTGTAGAGACTGAGTCTAAAATAGATTAAGGCTCCATTCGCATTGGCCCAAAATTAAGTATGTTTAATACAACTTGGAAAGCTAAAGTAGTGATAAAAAGCAGGGCTTTGTTTGCTTAACATACTCAGTAATATGTACTTTGTTTCCTCAAAGTTGGAAAAGGTGTACAACCTCAGGGGAACAAAAATGCTGCTGGTTCATGATCCCCCTAGATGATGTTAAGGATTCATGAGGTCCGACACGGATGGGTCAAGAGAGATTTCCAAGCATTTTCCTGGTCCCTCCAGCAGAATTTCTTTTTGTTCCCCCAAAGGGACCTCAGCATGTTCAGTCTGGCCTGCAGACCCTGTGTCACCCCATACCCTCAAGGCTAGGGGAAGAGAAGGGTCATATCTGTTAAGCCAACAACAGATGGGACATGATTACCAATGAGAGGGAAGGCAACTTGAGGGGCCACCCACAAACCAGGCGCAGCAGAGCAGGGCGGGGCTGGGTTCCAATACAGCTGCATGGAGTCACATCCTGGGTTTGGTGGATGAATTAGCAAAAGCCTCATCTGTGGCTGGATTTCTCATCCCTGACATTGAAGAGGCTCAGTGTGAGCACTTTGAGTTCCCATGCCAGCCAGGCAAGGTGTCCTTCACTGCCACATTGAAAGGTAAAATGGCACAGTGGCGTTTCTGTCCTTGAGTGTAGTCTGACACATACTCGACCAGGTACAAGGAGCATCTCATGAATAATGAGCACCCATGACCCAGGAAGGTGGTGGCCCAGTGGAGAGGGGGCATGGAGGGTGTTAGCTGTTTTGTGCACTTGCCTTCAGAGGTACCTGTCACATGTCCCACCCTAGGGTCTCTTATGATGATGAAACGAAATCCACAGATGTAATATGAATTTAATTTAAATGTTTAGTCTTTTTATCGTCCAACCCACCAAACTCATAATTTCCACTTTCTTCCCTCTCTTCAGTCTTTCAACACCCCCTCCCCCTTAGATAGCAACCTGGTCTCATGCTTAGTTGAGAAAATAGAAGCAATCAGACTGAACACTGGCATCTTATCACGACCATTTCTGCCACACACCTGGGCCTCTCCCTCTTTCTTCCCCCCTGTTGCTGTGGAGCCCTGTTCCATCAAGGACCATCTCCGCATCACATCTCCTCAGCTTACTTAAAGACTTTTGGACTATAACCATCCTCTTTCTTTCCTCCATCACCAATTTTTCCTAATAGTTTTATTTCCATCAACATGAAAACATTCCTTGATATTCACCACCCCAAAGAACAAACAAAGAAAAACAAAACTATACTTCTTTTGGTGCCATGTCCCTTTCTAGTACTATCCCATTTCTCAGCTCTCTTTCCCTCAGGACTTCTAGAAAGAATTGCCTGTCCTCTCCTTCACACTTTCTTACTTCCCATCTCAAACAGGCTTACCTTCCCACCACACCACCAAAACTCACCAACAACGTCCATCCTGCCAGATCCGAAGACCACTCCACTGTTCCTGTGTTCCCTGGCCTCTCCACATCATTGGTGCACTTGACCACAGCCTCCCTCTCCAGCACTTTCTTCCCTGGCACTCATGACTCCCCTACTGCTCTCCCTCCTACCTCAATAAGATGCCTTTCCATTCTCCTCTGCAAGCTATTCTTCTTTTCCCAAAATGCCTCAGAGCCTATTCCAACCAGAGTCCTATCCCCCTACTTTCCTTCTCAGCGACTTCAGCCTTTGGCTTTAATTACCATCTTTTTCTATGTGACACCAAATTTCTGTCTACAGTACTAACCTCTCCCCTGAGCTCTGCACTCAAAGATTTAAAGGCCTACTTGGCCTAACAAGCTTGTACAACCAGTGTGGCTAAAGCAGAAGCTAGAGATTTCCCAAGTCCTCTACAGTCTGTTCCGCTCTTCATCTTCCTCAAAGCCATAAATGTTATTATGAGCTATACAGTGACTCAAGTCAAAACCTACAGTGTCATCGGAGATTCATCTCAGTCCCTTACCATGGAAGTCCTGTGGGTATTACTTCCAAAATATGTCTGTCTCTACGGCCACCATCCCAGATTAAGTTGTCATAATGTGGAGGCAGTGACGTTCAACTGGTCTATCTGCTAATGACCACGCTGCCAAACTTCACTTGGCACAGAACAGCCAGAGCACTTTTTTTTTTTTTTTTTTTTTTTTTTTTGAGACAAAGTCTCATTCTGTCGTCCAGGCTGGAGTGCAGTGGCACAATCTCGGCTCACTGCAACCTCCGCCTCCCAGATTCAAGTGATTCTCCTACCTCAGCCTCCCAAGTAGCTGGGATTACAGGCGCCCACCACCACGCCCAGCTAATTTTTGTATTTTTAGTAGAGACGGGGTTTCACCATGTTGGCCAGGCTGGTCTTGAACTCCTGACCTCAAGTGATCCACCCACCTCGGCCTCCCAAAGTGCTGGGATCACAGGCATGAGCCACCGTGCCCGGCCCAGAGCTCCCTTCATAAGACAGAAATCAGAGCAAATCACCTCACTTGCTTGAAACCCTCCAGTAGATTTTCACTGCACTTGGAAAACTCCATGGCCTATAAGATCCCCCTGGCCTGGCTCCTGCCTGCTTTTCTGGTCTCACCTCCAACCTCCTCTTTCCCACTTGACATGTTGCAGTCACACGGGTTTCCGATCCTGAGCACAGAAATCTTGCTCAGGGAGGTCTTCTCTGATCACCCAAGAGAAACTAGCTCTCTGACCACTGTGCATCCTACCACGCTGTGTGGCACTCATGGCCAGCTGACATTATCTCATTAATTTAATTATTACCAATTAGAATGTAAGCTCCATGAGAGCAATGCCTTGTCTTGCTCATTGCTATCCTCTCAGTACCTAGAGCACTTCCTCGACCATAGTAGGCCCTGGATAAATATATAGGTACAGAGAGAATGAATGGAAAATAAATGAGTGAAATCTCATACGTGGTCACAAACCAGACTGGTCTCTTAAGCACATAGAAAAAAAGTCTTGAGTCACTTCAAATTGCCACACATAAAAAAAAGTTAACCTGGTCTTGGTCAAACCTGAAGCCTCTACCTTCTGGCAATGGGAATAACTCCAGGCAACCAGTTCCAACCGCCTCCACCCTGTCTCCTTCAAGGTTCCCTTCCTCTACCTGCAATTTACAACCTCAGTGGTTCCCCAGGGCTCTGTCCTGCGCCCTCAGTGCTTCCCTTCTGCACATTTTCCCAGGCAATCTCTTCCTGCCTCTGGGCACTAACTCCATCAGTATAGAGATAGTTCCCACAGGCACAGCCCCATGCCTCTCTGCTAAGCCACAGACCCAGGCAGCTGTGTCCTCCTGGGCGTCTCCATCGGGGTGGCTCTCAAGTCCCTAAAATATAATGTGTCCTAAACTCAGATTTGCTCCCTGTCATGCATTACACATCTTGATGAAAGGAACTTGGTCTCCCAGGTCCCCAGGTCAGAAACCTGATGGTCATCTTGTGCTCTTCCCTCCCACGTGCTCCACAGCCCAGCTATTCCCATGGGGCTGCTGCCAGACCACAGGCTCCCTTATGCAAATGAGCAAAAGGCATCCCTCCTCAAGACACTCTACTGCCATCTGCTGGGAAATCTGTGTAATAGCTCTATATAGCTGTACCCCTTAGATGTGGTGAGCTGTGCAGTGTACATCCTGCACAACCATATGAGGCGTCCCTGGCTAAGCTTGTCCATTCCATCTTGTACCTGTCTCTAGTACCCAAACATCCTTTCCTCTCAGGGTCTTGGCTGCTGCCCTGGTTCATGCCACCAAACCCTCCTGCTAGACCATTACCATGCTCCCATACTGATCTCCCTAAATGTAGTCTCTAGTTTTTGCAATTCCCTTCCTCACCATTGTCAGAATAAACTTTGTAACATAAAAATCTCATCCCCTCACTCCCCAGCTCAGATACTCTCAGTAGCTTCTGAGGAGCTAGAGAATAGAGACCAACCACCTTTGCCTGTCACAGACGTGTCACCTCTCCAGGTGTCCTGTCCTTTGCCCCACTACCTCCATAAGCTGCAGAAATTCCTGAATATGCCATGGTTTATTTCAACCCTGGCCTGCACATGTGCTGTGACACCATCTCTGCCTAGGATACCCTTTTCCATTACCTTTCCAATAATTCCTGCCCACAAATCTCCCTGCAAATGCCACGCCTATGGAACCTTTCTCAAAAGTCCTCCCTCTCTGCTTCTGCTGAGTTTCTGCAAATCTCTGTGATGTCTTATGGGTGACTGACCACATGTGGGTGTCCTCAACAGACTACACTTTGGAGGATAAAGATTATGCCTTTTTTTTTTTTTTCTATTCCCAAAAAGTAACACAATCTGTCACATGTTCAGTGCTCAATAAAAAGGATGAAAAAAAAATAAATGACTTTTCTAAAAATAAGGTGTGGCCTTTCTAAATATGTCTCAGACCCTCTAAAGAGTTTCCTTTCCACCAGGCGCTATGTAATCTGGGCTCTACCCAGGAGTTGTGGGCAACATCTGGCTTCCCTATGAAGGCTGTCATGTCATTTAATGTAAAAATTAAAGACACATTTTACTAAGAGTATTCTGTAGGTTCCCTTCCCACCCAATATTCACCATGCATCTTATAAACTCCATCTGAAATAAATACAGAGAGTTTAAAGCAGACATCCAAAAAGCAAACTTGTCCCCAGATTTCAGTCTCAAAATCACACAAGAAACTCTGCCAACTAGGAATGTCCCTGTGCTCCTTTTTAAAGTGGGTCTAGTCCAATGGAGACTCTCCAGGGCCAGGAGATTGGACTCCAAGAGCAGCCATGCCCCAAAGCTTTCATGCCACCTAATTATGTGCTCAGGGAATCCCTTTGATGTTATCCGGTTTCCCTGGCAAATCCCCTTCCCTCTGCCAGAGGAACAAGCCAACTCTCAGAAGATCAAAACATGGGAAGGGTGATCCCTTTCCAGAAGTCTCTAATTAATATCAATGTGAGGTATCCACATCAATAAAGAATGGTCTATCCATAAGTAACCCTTCCCCCTGCAGTAATGGAGGAGGAGTGGGAAGGATGAGCCTCCAAAACCATGCAAAAGGTCTTTTGAAAGATAAAAACTCAACAGGCAAGGGGGCCGAAGCTGAGGTGTACTCAATCTATAGGCAAGGACCTTCCAGAACCTTCCACGTGCCTGACATTGTGCAAAGATAAAAAGGACAAAGTCCTGCCCTTACAGAACTGGTATTTTAGAGCAAAGATTAAGCAAAGCATTTCCTGTAAAGGGCCAGATTGTAAATATTTCAGGGTTTGTGGATAGTCTCTGTCACAACAGCTCAATTCTGCCATAAATTGAGTTTAGGGACACATATCATCTTCACGTGTCATAAAGTATTATTCTTCACTTTGGATTTTTTTTTTTAACGATTTTTAAATGGCAAAATTAGACAGGTGCCATAGCTCACACCTGAAACCCCAGCACTTTGGGAGGCCAAGGCAGGAGGATGGCTTGAGCCCAGGAGTTCAAGACCAGCCTGGCCAACATGGTGAAACCCCATCTCTACGAAAAATACAAAAAATTAGCCAAGAAAGGAATAGCTCCAGCCTCCAGCTCCCAGAGAGAGCTACACAGAAGATGGGTGATTTCTGCATTTTCAACTGAGGTACCAGGTTCATCTCACTGGGGCATGTCGGACAGTTGGTGCCGGTCAGCACGTGCAGACCGACCAGCGAGAGCTGAAGCAGGGCGAGGCATTGCCTCACCTGGGAAGCGCAAGGGGGAAGGAAATTCCTTCTCAGCCAAGGGAAACTGAGACACACAACACCTGGAAAATCAGGTAACTCCCACCCTAATACTGCGCTTTACCAAGGCTCTTAGCAAACGGCACACCAGGAGATTATATCCCACACTTGGCCCAGAGGGTCCCACGCCCACAGAGCCTCCCTCATTGCTAGCACAGCAGTCTGAGATCTAACTGCAAGGCGGCAGCGAGGCTGAGGGAGGGACGCCCGCCATTGCTGAGGCTTAAGTAGGTAAACAAAGCCGCCGGGAAGCTCAAATTGTGTGGAGCCCACCACAGCTCAAGGAGGCCTGCCTGCGTCTGTAGACTGCACCTCTGGGGACAGGGCATAACTAAACAAAAAGCAGCAGAAACCTCTGCAGATGTAAATATCCCTGTCTGACAGCTTTGAAGAGGGCAGTGGTTCTCCCAGCACGGAGGTTGAGATCTGAGAACGGACAGACTGCCTGCTCAAGTGGGTCCCTGACCCCTGAGTAGCCTAACTGGGAGACATCCCCCACTAGGTGCAGACTGACACCTCACATCTCACACAGCTGGGTACACCTCTGAGATGAAGCTTACAGAGCAAGAATCAGACAGCAACACTGACCATTCAGCAATATTCTATCTTCTGCAGCCTCCGCTGCTAATGCCCAGGCAAACAGGGTCTGGTTGGACCTCAAGCAAACTCTAATAGACCTGCAGCTGAGGGTCCTGACTGTTAGAAGGAAAACTAACAAACAGAAAGGACACCCACACCAAAACCCCATCAGTACGTCACCATCATCAAAGACCAAAGGCAGATAAAACCACAAAGATGGGGAAACTGAACAACCTGCTCCTGAATGACTACTGCATCCATAACGAAATGAAGGCAGAAATAAAGATGTTCTTTGAAACCAATAAGAACAAAGATACAACATACCAGAATCCCTGGGACACATTAAAAGCAATGTGTAGAGGGAAATTTGTAGCACTAAATGCCCACAAGAGAAAGCAGGAAAGATCTAAAATTGACACCCTAACATCACAATTAAAAGAACTAGAGAAGCAAGAGCAAACACATTCAAAAGCTAGCAGAAGGCAAGAAATAACTAAGATCAGAGCAGAACTGAAGGAGATAGAAACACAAAAAACCCTCCAAAAAAATCAATGGATCCAGGAGCTTGTTTTTTGAAAAGATCAACAAAATTGATAGACCACTAGCAAGACTAATAAAGAAGAAAAGAGAGAAGAATCAAATAGACACAATAAAAGATGATAAAGGGGATATCACCACCAACCCCACAGAAATACAAACTACCATCAGATAATACTATAAACACCTCTATGCAAATAAACTAGAAAACCTGGAAGAAACGGATAATTTCCTGGACACTTACTCTCCCAAGACTAAACCAGGAAGAAGTTGAA